ATATTTTTATTTTTGTTTTTATTACTTTAAGCTTGCATTTACTTTACAAAATAATTCTATTTATTCATTCGATATTTATTTATTCATCTAGCAAATCTCTGATATAATCTCGTAATACGATAAGCAATAATATTATTGTTACAAACTTAATTTTTAGCCTTTTGTGCGGTTATTAAATACTCACTACTATTGTTCTTTAGGGCTCTCCCAACGGAGGTATTTACTAAATAATACGTAAAGCCTTGCGATACACTATATTTCTAGAGAAGGAAAACTTTTTTATTGATCGTTAATTCATAAAGCATTTTCTTGGTTAAAATTATAAATTTTATAGATTATGAATATAACAATTGTTTTTGGTAATCATTTTAAATTTATATTGAAACCTAAGTTTTTATCGATTTAAAGCTACTTGTTAAACTCTATTTATTCTCATTATCTAGAAATTTTTGTGCGCTGGCTAAACATTATACTGTAGTTAACTTAACGCGCCAACCTGTTGAATTTTACCCAAATAAAATATCTATCTTTAAATATACTTTGCTTGACTCATATATTTTAGCTTTAGCCTTATTAAATTCTTGTAAAATAGTCTTGTAGATTCCATTAATTTATATATTGAAACATTAATTCGTGGTGGAACGCAACGTTCTTCTTTAAAATAATGATCTAGGAGTAGTTACTTTTGTTCATGAAATGCTAAATTTTAACTAAATACAAACCCTGAAGGATAAGTAAAATTACTTTTTAGCTTTGCGTGTTGTTAATTTCATATGCTTAAAGTTTAAAAACTACATATTATAGACAACAAAGATGTATCATATACGGGTTTACCGAAATGTGGAAAACTCTTCTAGATTTTTTAATAATTTTTAAGCTCCCTGAGGAACACAACACGCACCACCTATTAAAACGAATAAAAAAAAAGCAGATGTGACCCGCATGCCATTCCCTTTCTTTGCTGATAGCCCTCGCCTGGTCAAGCCTCACATTACATCTATACAGTGTAAAAACAATTCCTGCAATTTGTAATGACATTTTTTTAAAGTTCCCAAAATTTAATTAAAATCGAACACCAGAGTCGGTCGAATTGTAGATAGCCTCAAGCTGATAGACTTGCTTAAAGAAACTACTAGGTAATAAATACATTGAAAAGCCGTGTAGTAGGTAATAATCTTATATATTAAGGTCACCAGAAAACTTATTAAATTCTTTTTATTAAAAAAAAAGTATAGGAGATAGTTTATTATTAGCAGCTTTTATAATAATAATAATTGACTGCGATACTATTTTACTTCGTAAAAAGTTAATTATGACTCTAATTTTATGTAAAGATGGTGAATTTCTTTACTTAAATTTTCTACTTCCACAGCAGGGGCTTGAATAGTTAGTAGATCTACATATTCGTCCTCAGGCAAAGGAATTAATTCATCCTCTGAACAAAGGTGTAAGTCTTCTTCATTACTTGTGCTCTTAGGTCATAGGACGCTATCCTTTCAATATTTTTTTTGTTAATTAATAGGGCTTAGACTTTGTATGCCTTAATAATTTCAGATTAGTTTGAAATTTGCGCTTGCTAACTCAAAAATATTTAGTTGGTTATCTAGCTTATTATTTTATAAATAATCCTTCATTTAATTTTTTTTACTTAGTTTTTGCTTTAATTGGTGTGTGGCCTTCTTATGTGACTTAGCTAGTAACATCAGTTTATTTTAAGTTGGTGGATTGTAGTCTAATATGTCACTAACATCTTGCAAAATTTTCATTTTTTAAGGCGTAGTTTGCAACTAAGTTTTAGTCTAAATTATGGAATTTGGTTACATGTAACTAATTCACCAAAATTGGATTACACGGGTACGATTCATTATAGGTACTTCCTAGTTAGGGGTTTTTCTTTAACATAATGATTAGTATTATCTATCTCTTTAGCTCTTTTAATTGGATTACCGCCTTTCCCTATATTTTTTACTGCTGCATTAGGCTTGTAAGACCCCTTTTAAATAATAATTTGGTAGGACTTATAGGAGTAACTATATATGGCCAGTAACTTTAATTAGAGCAATGTATATGGAAATAATTTATGTATATATTTATGTTCGAAAACACTTTTATTAACGAGTTATAAGTTAATACGATATATATACTCTTTTTCTAGTTCAATGATGATAAGAATTATATAAAGAGGAATTGACGGTAGCACACGAACTATTAAACTCTTGTTAAATTGTTATTGAACTTCATAAAAAATAAAAATTTCTAGTGTGATATATATAGTAGTTAAAGCGATCGTAGCAGCAATAGTTGTCTGGAAAACAAATTAACACTAATAGTCTATGTCGGTATTTACTCAATTAAGGTTCGGCTTAGTGCTTGGGGATTGAGATAACCAACATTTGTTTAAATATTAGAAGGATATTTTATGTATTTTAACCCTAAATTTATTGCATTTCATCAAAATATACTTCTTTTTCAATTAGAAAGAAAGATTTTGCGATATATAGATGTAAACAGCCAGTAACATAAATATCTAAAAGATTATTTCAAATATCAATTGGGTTTCTTTTGTAATAACTATTTTATAAGATAAGTCTATATAAAGTCTAGCTGATTGTTTTAAGTTAACCGCAAATTTTTAAAGAGCATTTTTCTTGTTAATGTAATTTGAAAGAGGTTTCCTAGTTTATTATATAGATAACTTTAGAACGACTGAATTTTACTAGAACAACATTATAGAATTCACTCTTAGCAATTAACTACGCCTGTGCATTTAATCATAACATATAATGCTAAAACCCATATATAAGTTGAAAACTCACCACACTATCCTTATAATGCTACACAGTAATTAAGTTAATGATATTTTAACAGGAACACCCTTACCTAAACCCTCATTTTAAAATAAACTTGTCGTAAGGGATCACAAATGCAAATAATGCGGCCGACTTAGCCAAAACTGAAAAGGCATGATACACAAGTAAAAGAAAAGAGCTGCAAGGATATAAAAATAAAATATTAAAGAAATTTAGATTAACTCAGTTTTATTTTTAACAAGGTGAATATCTAGTTTTATATATACTACAGAGGGCTTACTAATGCTCTCATTCCAAAAGAAATTAAGTATTTTTTACCGTGGACTGTTTGGAAACTCATTGGAAGACTGTTCAGTATCTCTTGGTTTGCATTCAAAAAGTTCAGTAAAAGATGTTAAAAGATAATATTAAATGATAATAGGTAAACAGACAAAGTTTATAAAAATTCACGTTATTCAATTTATTATTATTTTCATGGAATTAAAAATATGACCAAGTTATGAACCAAAGTTTATAGGAAATTGTGAATTAAAGTCATATTTAAAATATATATTCAAAAATAGGCTTATAATCTAATTAACTTTTTTTTTCCCACAAAATAGTTTAGAAAGTTATGGAAACAAACCTTTATAATATTGTAATGGTAGAAATAGGGTTTACAATACAATCTGTGTACCCTTGTGTTTAATTTTAAGCTTTTAAACAATACTATTTTAGCTTTGAATGAGTGTTAAATCGAGTATTTAAAGCTTGTATAACATTTATATGATTCTACGATAATATTGTTTCCTAAGTTTAAAATAAAATAACGTCTTGTTTTGCATAGCCAAGAATTAGCTCAGAAACACTTATAAAAAAGTGTTTAATAAGACAATAAAGTAAATTTACTTTTCGAAGTTGATCACCATAATAAATTCGGACATTTTTTATGACTTTTTTATTTGACTTGATGGAGAACTTAAAATCGCATAATCTTTGATTTCTGCTTTAAAACTAAGCCCGAAAGCCCAACCCGCAGCTTCCGTTATTAGCCTTAGTGTAGCGGAAAGTTGCGAACTATTTATAACAATATGATAGACTCAAATTCTGATAACATATAAAAAATGTGTGAAAAGGAAAGGAGTAGAAAAACTTGTGTAAAAATCGCTAATTCTTTTATTGAGAATCAGTCATATCTGTTCCTTAGTTTTAGTATTCATAGGTAATTTTTAATACTCAGGTTTCTAAACTAAGTTTAATTGAAAATCTCGAATATTCTTGTGAGAACCAAAGGCTCGCGAAGCTTGTACAGTCAAGTCTTAATTTGTCACTCTAAATTCTCGTACCATACGTGAAAATTCGGAAGCAATCAGCTACTTCCATGGTAATAGCTATTTAAACTGATGTGCAGTTGTGCTAGGGCTCACTGTGTATTCAAGTTAGATGATGTGACAGTTTCTATATATTTACTATGCTATTATTTAAATATTGAACGCCTCTATTTATATCAACAAGATTGGCTAAGATATTCGAGTAATTAATATTTTTAGGAAAAAAAATTTTATAAAGAAGTATTTCAGCCTCATTTCATATACCTCTTCCACCCAGCACAGCCAGTAAGAGTTACTGTGGCCGAAGCATCTTACCTGCAAAGGAAGCATTCGCGCCCAAAACTCCTAGCGAAAAAAATTTTAGTATTTACTTAGAAAATATGGTAAGTGTGGAAGACGGTATAACACTAAATGTTGAATATATCATCTATTTATAAATAAATATCTAAATTTCAGTTCTTTATAAAAGCAGTTCAAGCTTACCTATAGTTTACCTACTGCTAATAAAGTTATAGCACACTGATAAAACACTATATTTTACCGTCCTATAAACGAGCAGCTTACAGTGACTTAATTCGCTAGACTCAAGGCACCATCTATTGTCTGAGCTTATGGCTAAAACAACAACAACATAAATACAATAACAATCATATTAAACCAAAAAAAACAAAGTACCCACTGCATAGAACGCTACTTTTATGAGATGAAAAGAAAAGTATTTTCACCGAAGAAATTATATAAATACTTATACTTATAAAGAATAAAATTAAAAAGAGGAACTGAAATTTTAAATTGCACAAATGTAACTAAACTACAATAACCTCGTGCTTGCTAAAGTCATATGTTCAGCGCAAATGGCCCTTTTCAATATTATGAAGACCGTTTAATGAAGCTCCTTCCTAGCTGCTGGAACTTATTAAATAGTTTAAAAGTCTAATAAGGTAATGAAACCACTTTTTGTCTACAGGGCTTTTGATTTATTACACTATATACATACATTCTTATATTTTTTTTAATGTTATGCGGTACTCGGTAATATCGGCGCGCAGACTGCTTGATCTCGCAAATAGTATATATTATTAGGCTTAGACCATAATGAATTTTGGTAGGTTATCACGCAATAAACGTTTCTACATATTTGTTAAAAAAAAAAGGTGTAAAAAAACTGTAATTGTGCGCAGGGCCTTCGAAAGCGTGAGCCTTCCCAGGGTCCGTATATAAGTTCTTGAATTTAGTGGTGGTTTGGGATGCCTACTGACACGTTTAAAAAAAGAAAATGAAATTGCATACTTCAAGTCGTTCCAAACCTAGGTCGCCGTGCAACTTTTCGTTCCGCACGAAATAAGGTATCGGTCATTAATCCCAAGGGCTTTTAATTTTGCTTAGACTAGGGGGTGCACTCGTCGACGTTTTTCTTATGTCCAAGCAACAGATGCATAGTCATAATATGGCGCACGCATACTTTATAAAGGCGCAGTTTATTGCGCAGGGACGTTGTGCTTTTAGCACACAGCAGTGGGTGGTGTGCGTTAATTGGCTGCTTTTGACCTTAGTCGTGACGAACGCTACGTGTGACCGCCAAGTTATTCTTATCGATGACGGCGCCCAAGTTTTTGGCCTGAGAGCCCTATCTTCCAGAAGTAAAAGGCGGGGGTAGCATTATGCAACTTCTTTAAATGAGAATCGCTTTGCTCTTCATATAATTAACGGTTACTTCCCACTGACGATACCAGTTAGCGAATGTTTCCAAATAACACTGTAGGTGTTGCCTTGCCGTAATAATGAGGGACTCTTTGAGGTGGCGTACTTTGCAGTGTCACCGGCATAGCGTGGAAAGCGGGTGTGAGGGTTTCGCAGAGAGTGAACTGTCTCGCAGGTATAGCGCGAAGAGGGGGGTAAGAGTAGAGAGCCTTGCGGAACATTAGATGTCAGCCGATGGTAGGCGACAGCACCCCCAACTCTAAGTCAAAACGTGCGCCGCATAAAAACGACGCACGTATGCGTTGAGGGCTAAGGGGATACCTAATGTGCGTAGTTTGCGAAGGAGAATCTCGTGGCATTTGCGTTTCAAGGCCTTTTCAAAGTCGAGAAAGACGGCCCCCGTGGATTTCTTAAAATTGAAGTTCCGAGTCGGCCATTCAATAAACTGCAAAAGTTGTTGTGCCGTCGGGTGGTCTTTTTGGAACCTGAATTGAAATTCTGGAAGCGCCTTGTATGTTTTACAAACTCTCCCAGTCTGTGTAGTAAAACTGCCTCAACGGTTTTGCCCACTTAAAGGGGCGATATTTGCTGAGATCCATTGAGGCCCGCGGGGTCTTAGGTAGCATCACGACAGCGGTCGTTTTCCATCGCGTTGGGTAGGACCCAGGCGACGTTGCAGAAGTTGCAAAACAGAGATACCGTTAGGGCTGGGTGCTTTCCTTCGGGAAAATGCAGAAACTATATCAGTGTTTTCTTAGGTGTGCTCTATTTGATAACTCCGTTAAAAAGATCGGAGATCCTGCGGTGTTTTGCTTTCGTTCTCAAAAGTTATCTAAATTAGAGATCCGCAATCAGCTAGATGTCGAAAAAGTGCGTCGCCTTGTCTTGGTCGCTTTCCGCCGCTATCACGCCATAAATAAGTGGTGGGTATGTTGTGTGCTAACGGTTTTTTGATATGTTTTACGAGGCGCCAAAAAAAATGATCGTTTTTCTTCGGCCGATACAGGCACGTCGTTTTTTTTTGGCTTTCAGAGATTATTGTGAAAGGCACCAGCTCCTTCCTTATGCATCACTGAAGACGGTTTAGAATTAGTTTGTCTTGGGGGTTTTGTGTAGAAGCGGGCAGGAGTATTAACCGGCGTCGTTCACGAATAAGGCTCACCAAATAATCTAGAGAGGGCCAGGGCGATATACGACTTCGCGGAGCATGGACACCTGTCTCCTCTATAGGGAGGGGGTCGGTTAGCTTTGCTTTAAAGGCAGCTGTAAATTTTTTCCAGTCCGTGAATAACCGTGTCCCCTAGTTTCGCTGTAGCTTTGCCTTTCTCTTAGGTCCTATAAGAAGGCAGGTGGGCCAATGAGAGCTCATGCAACTCTGCGATTGATACCTACTAGTGTATATCTTTTAAAATGGTTTTGTCGAGGACGTCTGAATTGCCCGACTCAGTCATGTGAGTGGGATGTTGAGGTATACCATCACGCGAATTTGTTTTGGTCCTCATATTTCTCAAGAATTTTTCCGTTTGAATTTTCAAGTCGACTGTTTCAAGCAGTGTGTTTGCAGTTAAAGTCACTACAAAGAACGACGGGCGAGCGCCGTTGTAAGGCTTGTCCTGATCACTTGTAAGCAGAGCCATGTCGGAAGGTTTATAGACAGATATCACGTCTGTCGGTTTCGTGGTAACCAGCTGAGACATATCCCCACGGTCTCCACGCCCTTTAGGTTTGAGATTGCAATCGGGTGGTGCGGTAGATTTTCGCCGACCAGAATAGATACTTCACCGTCGCATCTGCAAAGACGGTCAAGGCGGCACGTTGTGTAGTTGCAAAGTACAAGCCGATGGCCCCGCTCTCAAGTGCGTCCCGCTTAACAACGCGACAGTCGCATCTCCACTCTGCAACAAGCTGTAGCAGTTCGTCCTTTTTACAGTGCACACCCTTGGCATTCCACTGTAAGAGTTTCAGGTGGCATAATGAACGGGTCCTAGAAACCATTTGCGTGTCATCAGATTGCTAATGCTCGAAGAAATGTTTCAAGAGCAGCTGCTAGTGGTGCCAGTATCTCGCCGATGGGATTTGGAGCAAGAGGTCTTTGTCATTGAGCGGGTTGCGATGCATGAGGTGGTCCTGGTCGTTAATGACTGCGTCTCCGTGGGTCGTTGACATGTCGACGGCGGAGAAACGATTTTTCGAGAATCTTTGACACACCTTCGGTAATTCGCTTCGCGTGCCTCGCCAAAATTAGCGCATTTGACCGGCAACTCCCTCATATTGTATCGTTAGTGTTTTTCCCCACACTTGAAGCAGCGTGCAGTGATGGCGCAGTTCTGTGCGCTGTGGTAGAAGCGCTGACAGCGATAACATTGTTTCATGCGACCACTCTTACGAGGTGGTTAAACGCTTATCTGCAGAAATAATGATTGCAATGCATAGGTTGCAAATCCTTCCTTATTCGGTTAGAATACAAGAACCTGTCGGTAGTAGTCGCTTAATGCGGTTCTCGTCGGTTGGGTGAAGTCGTGAAGCGGAGGGGTGAAAATCCCTAAGCACGTAACGCCGTTTAAATGTCGACTATAGGTAGATCGGTGCAAAGACCTCGAAGAATGGCCCTCGAGTAACTGGTAGCAGTGGTGTTGCCAAGAGCGCTCCCAGTAGTGCTACTATTCTGCTCGACAGTTGACGGCAACAGGCGGATGCCGTCGCGGTGACCACGGGTAGAAGGGACATTTGCACTCTATGCGTACAGCGTTTCCACTAGCGTAGGCCACATTTTCTTGTTAACGAGAACGATAGGGAGAATTTTTACTTTACGCGTCAGTGGCCCTTCCGGGGTTGCACGTTTTTTGACTATTTCTTCAGAGGTTGTGTCTTGTTTCCATTTTACCCAATTCTGGTTGGGTAGACGGTTGTTGTCTAGCATTGGGTTGGTGAATGGAATTTTACGTTTATAACATCTACTATTCCAGCTATCATTACTAATATCTTATTATTATTTTTATTTTTTTATACTACTACTAGTATTACCACCGGTTACTATTTTATGACTTGATGTTATTTTTTAAGTAGTTGCTTCTATGATTATAACTTTTATAAATAAAATTTTTATTATGAATACTATAATCATTACTTGAGGGTGTTTCATGTATTTCATTATTTCACAGAATGTCCTCTTTTGATAACCAAGGTTTGCCTAGAATATGTAGCGCAGAAAAGGAGATAACATAGGTAAATACTTTAGGTTTAAAAGTTTCTTTGCGCCTTTTTAGGGTCTTTACAGGATATTTCTTGTTATCCAGTCGGTGAAGTCTTGCCTTTACGGATTCTCTTTTATTTTTTAAAGCCGGATTGGCAGCCAAAAAGTTGTTGATTAGATCTTGTTGTTTAGAATTTGCGGAAGAAGAACCCATTATAACCGTTCAGGAAGAAATTAATATGTATATATATATATAAAACCGTTATAAAAAAAATTATAATATTTATTTAAAAGATACATAATATATCTAGGTGGGTACAGGTATATATAGCTATTAAGTTAGGTTGGCGTTGAGCAAAAAAATAGTAATAACAATCTATTTATTTATTAACGGCCTTACCTGGCGCTTGAGTGAGTTAACAACTTTGAATACACGAGCTCTCAAACAGGTTTTTAGTCGCCCCGAGTACAAGCAAAATTATTATCTTCACATGTGCCCTTCACGTTCCAATATAACCCCAAAGTAGCTTTCAACCGATCATGCTAAGTGTGCGTTGCTGGACAACGGTAGTAAGGGGCGTCCCACAACCCGAGAGATATTTATAGCAAATCCGTAGTAAAAAGTAGAGGTTCACAGCTACATCCAAAAACGGGATGAGGCCTACGCGAGCCAAAAAGTTTTGAACTTCTATTATAAATTAAGTATTACTTTTTTTTTATATTCTATGGCCTTGTTGACTATATTTATAGCTTTAAAAAGGGTTCCCTATATGTATATTTGTTTAGATTAGGTTTTAGATTATTTGCATAAGCATAAATTAAACCAGAAACTGCCATATTTGTATATAATGAGGTTTGGTTAAAATTACCTTTGCCAAAAAGATTAAGATGCTTTCCGTCAAAAAAATTAATTTATAACGCTTATAATTGGTTTACCTTTATATCAAGTAATTTGTAAGGTTAATTGTTCGTTCTTGCGTATGTTTTCCTGTGTATATGTCAGTGTTTTCTGTGTATTTCTTGATAGGTCTAAATCCTGAGTTATCATTAATGTTCTGGCTTTCCTCAGTCCTTTATGAAACTAATAGTTTTCTGACTACCATTAAGGAACTCAGGGTTGCTGTCACAAATCTAGAGACCACAAGGTTCTCTGACGATAATTAGCGCCCAAAGGTGAACTTACAAGAATTAAAATATACAATGAGAAAAAAAAAACAAAAAGTAAACTAATTAATCTTCAGCAATAATAGTGAGCAGAGCTAAGATCTCAGAGCAAAATTGGAGCTAATACGCGCACAACTATATTAAAGTTATGCACAGGCGAAAATAGGACTTAGGTAAAGACCGTAGAAAGAAACAGAACTTTGAACTTGGATCTAGGAGAAAAAGTAACTTAAAAAGAAATTATGCGATAGGCGCTTTATATAAAGAAGGCATCAGAGTAACCTCCCACGGAAGCCTTTAAATATCTATTTAAGCTCTTAACCGCAAATCAGAAATTTTTCATGCATTAGCGCATTTAGCATAATAATATCTAATGAAAATGAAGATAAGGGCTTGTGCATAGCAGCTGCCTAACTGTGGAGAGTCATAGATGATATTTAAAATAATCCCATATATAAGAAGTGAAATATGACTGACAGCGTTAAAGAATCTTTTTTATCTTCTACTTAATAGCTCCCGGACACTTCTTACTCTGGAACGGGGAGTAGCCTCGTGCGCTTACCTGGTTTATCTCAGAATCGGACATTTGAACAACTGTTGGGATATTATAATGCACACCGGCACAAGCTAGTTGTAAGGAAATACTCATCTTTTAGTAGCGTCGTTCGACATTAATAAAAACACCTCACGTAGCATTATTAGGCAATATTTTTAATTATTTAGCAAGTATACCATTAAAAATTTTCGTTTCAGTGCTTGAACCTGAAGACGCCCGATTGGCTAAATAAGTAATCTTTATACTGTCAAAACTGCTCGATTTACTAAATGATGACCTGCCTATTTAAAGGATTAGTTTATATTTTAAACGAAAATTTGTCTATGTAATAAGCTCTAATAACAATATATATATATATATATATTTTCTGCTTAAAATGCAGTTGTTTCATAGAATATCTCATTACGTACGTAAAATATGAGTTGTCGGTTTTGGAGGGATTGAAGACAGTATAGGCTTTGATAACACTGATTTTACAGCTTTTTTGAGTTGCAGCTGTAACTCATAGAGTATGACTGTAAAGTCACATAAATATATCATCTATATACTTTATTTTACCAATAACACATTTACATTTACAAAGCAAGGACAACTGTTTGGGTGCAAGGGTTGGCTTTTACATTGAGCTATCAAAACACCAGCCTAGTAAATTTTTTCACGCCCCGAGCCATGCGTGTTAAATTTTTTTAGTAGTTGCAATCACAGCTTTAGGTAACGTCAAGATAAATGGTTTGCGTTTTTTAGTGTTATATTATTTTGTTTGTCTTTGTAACATCTTTTGTTAGCTTGACTCTAAGGCACTAAATAGTCTCGGTTTTAAAACGTAATTCTACTTTGCAACGACCTCATGAAGGCATTCCAGGTTCCTATCGTGGACATTTAACGAGTAGAAAAAGAATTAAAAACAACGATAGAAAGTTTTTTTTTTATTTTTAAATAATTATTTACTTTGAAAAATATACTTTTCAAGTTTTCACACTATACATAAAAGCACCTTGCTTTATCAACGTCCTTATTCTCGAGTAGCGAAAAATTCCAACATGTTCGAGCCTCATCCTTACAACATTGACGGAAAGGTTTTTAAGTACTAAGACACCGATCAAAAACTTCTACTCAATATTTTAGTTATCTTTGAGATGTTTAGTGACTAATAAAGAAGCCAGTTCGTTAATTGGTAAAGGAGGAAGTATTATAACTTCTCTTCGTCAACAAACGGGCTGTCGGCTTTCGGTTAGTGAATCTGCCACCAGCAAAGTTACAGAACGCATTTTATTTGTTTCTGGATTTATACATCGTACTTCCTCTTAAGTTTTGCTATGGTCCCGTTTTTTTACTTAATTCTTTGCAAGAACTCCAACACGCTTTTTCTTTTATCCTGTCTAAGTGGGATTCCGAATTAGCGGAGCACGAATCTTATTATGCGTAATTTTTCTTTATATTTTGAAGTTTTTCTCATTTTTTACATATTTTTTAACCGTTTACAATTAAATTTTTTTTTTTTTTTTGGTTTTTTATGTTATTAACTGTAAAAGCCCTCTACCCCCGAAGCCTACCCTTACCCTGCTTGTTCCGAACCACCAGGCGGGGGCACTTATTGGAAAAGGTGGAAAAAGGATCTCCTTGATCCGCGAACACACTGGTAGTTCTTATAATCTAGCTGGAACGCCATATACATTTTGAGAAATTATACTGTTGAATAGTATTTTCCTATTAGGCAGGATTAACACTATTGCCTTTCACCTGCTTTTATAGCGATCTTTTTTATTTTCTTCACGATGCCTACTACCGCAGGTGCTAGAGTTAGTTTGTCTTCTGGATGTCTTCCCGAGTCTACTGAACGCACCTGCTCTATCACCGGCACACCCAGTGAAGTTGTGAACTGTTTAACTGAAATCCTCAGTTTTTTAGGCAAGGTCTTTCTTTCCCCCTCCCTTTTCCCCCCTCTCCCTTCTCTCCCCGCCCTCCTTCAGCCCGTTGCTGTACTATATAGCACTGCTGCCCTCGCCTGTCAGCTCGTAGTGGAACCCTCCTGTTTAACTCTCACCTTATCCTCCTCCGCACTTCTTTCATTATTATAATACTCTATTTTGCCCTTATAGATCGACATCACAGAAGTCGTGTTCTATGCGCCGGTGGGCGTTCTTAGCCATCATAGCGACCTCGCGACATATGCTCCTCTCCCCCCTTACTTTCTGAGTGAAACGCTTGACTGCCTGGCAGGCTCCAGCAGTTTCGCAATATACCTACTAGTTCGTTTCTTCTAGCAACTTCAAATAAACAGATGGTGTTGAGGGTAACTTTGTGGATGGAGCAAATGAAGAATCTACAATGAAAGTAGTCCGCGTGCTCAGTGAGTTTGTCGGTGCAATAATTGGCCGAGAAGGCGCCCGAATCCGGGATATTCGGGAGAATACCGGAGCTAAAATTAAAATACAAAATGCTCTGCGGGGTATTGATAAGTTATAGTTAACAGGAACTTCGCAGCATTCGGAAGTATTTCGAATGTTCGAACTTTTAATATGTAGTGTGTAGCAAGAAAACTGTTGATTTAGTCCATATTAGCATAGAAAACTTACTAGGAAAATTATATTATCAGGGAGTGTCAAGAAGCATGTTAACAAATGCTTATACTACTATGTAGCTTGTAATGTTAACTAATATGAATGCCAATTTTTATAATAGAGGGAGCCTACAGAAGCGTTAGGATTATGGGGACTTATCAAGCCTGCGAGCACGCCTGTTTTTTAATTAACGAAATCATCGAGGAAGAAATTTCTAAAAAAACAGCAATCCCCTGAATTATAGTAACTTGGTTTTGTTAGGCCAAGAAAATTTTCTCTACCTTTTAAATATTTAATGAAGGCTTCTCTACTTTTTACTAATAAAAAAATATAATTTTGGCTTTTTTCTCTTTGTGGAGGCCTAAGACTATATGTTAATTCAAATTTTAAAAAAAAAAGTAAAAGAAAAGCATTATTACAAAAGACTACGGCTAAAGTTATATTTGCTAATGATTTAGAGCTATGTCGTAAACATGTCCTACTGTGAGAGGCTACGGGCAAAAGCTTTATCTGGCGTTTATAAAATTTACGTAGTAGGGTCGCATTGATATAAAGATTATTCTACTTAATTGTGACAGACTTCCGTTACTGAAAGCCTTCATACTTTACAGTAATAACAATTTGCTGTGGAATTAGTTTGGGATTTGGTTAACATGTAGTTTTTTTCCGTTATTGTTGTGCGTAAAAGTTTAGGTTTACAAATGTTTTGGTGTTAATAAAAAAATCTGAGACGTTGGATGTCACTGCGGCTTAAGTCTCTTAGCCTGCCTTCTAACTACTATTAACGTTGACAATTTTTGGAAAGCTAGTTGGCAAGGAACTTCTAGAGTTCTGGAGCAGGTAGTACACTATTGTGTCTCGCATTATACATTATTGTTAAGCATGAAGTACCTCGCCTTACTTTCCTAGTGAGTTAAAGGTATTATGGTTCACATGAGGTAACATAGCTTGAAAATTTTTTTTACAGGCCTTTTTGAACTTTTATTATTTGTTTAGGAAGGATGTGTAGTGACAAAAACTAAAATTGATAATTTCGTAAATGTATACAAGGGCTTCTGTGGGCCGGTAAGCTATTTAGTGAAATGCCATGCCAATCACTATACAAATAACCCGAAAACACCAAAGAAAAAAAAAAGAAAACTTAATAAAGTTGGAAATGGCGCTGCTGGCATAATTATTAGTAAAGAGTGTAAATTCATTTAAGGGCGTTGCCGGAGGCTGCTTTAACTATTTAAGTCTTTCAAGTTTTTGCCATCATTAATGTTCTTTCCTAGTTAAATTGGTTAAAACACTTTTTGAATGTGAGTGAAGTAGTTAACCAAAAGATTTAATTAAGCTTAGAAGCACGTAATAAGATTTTATATACTTTGCGAGGAGTCGCTTTCGGTTTGTTTATATCTGTGTGTATACAACTTCACTTGCTCCAAGCTATTCAAGGGGCGCCTTGGTAAAGCAGTTAACCATTTTTCCTTTCTCTTATGTAATATCCTAGTTACTATGCACAGGGACAGCTAGAATTAATAAGGCTAAAGATGCTTAAAAAAACGATATGCTTGTGACCAGATTACGAAAACTAATCGACAAATGAAACCGCGACTTAGTAAAAATGGGGGCGCTCTAGGTCTACTGTATTAATTTTGTTTAGCCAATTTTTCTATTTTGTTTAAGATCCCTTATTGAGTCACTAAGGTTTATTTATACAGTGTGTGTTGGGGAACACACCATTGTAATAAAATCCAATTGGTTTCTGTTACTTGACCTTGATTAGCAGCTTCTTTTCATTTTTGTTTTTGTAAAACTTTTATATTCATTCTCAACGTAGGGAGCCTACCACACAGCTGCCAAGTCACAATAACCCTGCGAATGTTGTCACTCATCCATTCGTTGTAGATAAAAGTTTTCTGAACTCCTTTTGACTTTATGAACTAGGTTGTCTCAAAATACTAGAAGTTCTGCAGCTTAAGTTAAAGTTGATATTAATTTTTATGTTTACAAAACATAGTTTAGAATTATTACCGAGGGGCTGCCATAGGTAGAGCACTAGGGGTAGTGCGAAGGGCAAAGGTTAACGCCACACATGCTACAATTTAAACACTTCAAAAAACTAAGAGCTTTTAAGTTTCCAAACAAATTTAATTTTCCGAAAAACTCATATTTTATGTATAAAAGCGATACAAACCTAAAATATGGTCAACCTCTATTCTTTCTAGCTTTAATTCATTCCATTACGTTATCAGCACCCGGTCGCCGCTAGGCTAAGGTCATCAGCTACGTTTATACGGCCTGGTCTTTACCTTTTCTTCGAATTTTGACTATATATATTTTTTACTAGTGTAATGAATGTAATTATTTTTAATTAGTTCTCTTTTTTCAAAATAATTTTTTTTTATAATTTGCTAACTTAACTTTTTACTATATAGTAAATATAGATATTTTTTAATTATGGGATACTAACTTGGAGTGGACAAATTCCATCTGGCACTTCACAATGAAGACAGAGACTAATGGACATGAAGTTAGCGCTCACTACTCAAAAGATACATGGCTTTTCTTCCCTAACGAAGAGATTGGAATACAAATGATGAAGAACAGTCGATACCCTGAGGTCAAGTCAAGAACTGAATGGTTAAGAGTGTCAGCTCCAGAACACATAATACTCACAGCAAATACAAGCGTCCTTTGTTGTGCAACCAGAGTTTGCTTCGGGCACAAAGTAAAGGGTTAAAAAATTTGAACCGCCACCTTGACCTTCGCATCGATACTTCACGAGACCGCCACGGGTGTTTATTGTCAGCAATGACCCCGGGTATATCGACGGAGGACGCCATGATATTACCTTATCAAAGGTCAGAGGCAGTAGTGGTGTGGTGCGCTCCTTTGTGGTAAGAAGGGCTTTGCTCTTTCCGCATTAAGGTTACTCTTCCAAACATAGACACAAGGGGCAAGAGTCACTAGGTAGTACTGAAAATGCGGGCTCAATAGGGCAGGTGACCTAAACGAGGAGTAAATCGCCGTATCACCCGCATATAAGACAATCCTCGTGTGGCGTTCGTTAGCCTGTGGTAAGTCGCTTGCATAAAGTGCAAAGAGTAGGGGTGATAAAAGAGATCCCTGTGGGGCTCTAGCTATTAGTGGTTTTAGAGGTGAGCGCGCATCGACCACAGGTATATCAAAGTCGTGGTTCCTTGAGGTAAGACTTAATCACGTTAAAAAGGATTGTAGGAAGGGCTATGGCGCGCAATTTATGACACAAGCCCTCGTGTCAAACTCGCTCAAACGTTTTTTCGACCTTAAGAAGGTCGGCGCCTGTTGCCTTCTTTAAATTGAAGGCATGGGTCTTCCACTCTATCTAGCAAAGGAGTTGTTGAGTCGTGGAGCCCTTGTCGAAATCCAAATTAGAACTCTAGCAGAGCATGGCTTGTGTCTACAAATGCTTTTAAGAGTCGCAGTATGACCGCCTCAGCTACTTTGCCATTGGTTAACAAGAGGCTGATAAGCCTGTCTTTGCTTGACGTAGACGCTGGTCTGGTGTCTTCAGAAGTATCACAATAAGTACCATCTTTTTGCGCCATAGGAAGGTGCCCAGAGCCATCAAAGAGTTGGGCGAGCACACATGTATCACTAAATGTATTAATATATACCATATATGTTATGCAATGATTTAAAACTATCTAATAAAATCTAAATAGCGACTCTCAAGTATTCATATTTTAAATCTGTGCGTGAGATATTAAATTTTAAACATTAATAACTAAAATTAATTGTTCATCATCAATGAAGAATCTACCGGACACACCTTATTAGCCCGTGTAGTTTGAATAGCATATTTGGAAAAAGGCTAACCCTTAAATGCATACTGTATGTTATTTAATACATTTCTAGTTGAGGCTAGTAGAGCAATCTAATTTGAGTTTTCTCATTATTACATGTACGATACACTTTTTAGCTCATAAAACTGCTACTAGATTGCCTTAATAGCGATAAATAGGTGTATCAAATATGAGACTGTGCATTTTAGGACTAAAAGGAGTTTTTGTTTTGTTTTTTATTATTGAGCGTTTTTATCTAAATTTGAAAATTTAGCTATGTATTTATAAGCTCTAGAAAATAAATTTACAAGAGTCTTCAAACATTATCTTATCTTATAATAATAGAGGTACAAAAGAAAGGTAAAAATGCAGGCCTTCTTTAAGTCGTCTGCCACTCGATAAAAAATTTAATTCTATCACGTGCACTGAGTCGCAGGAAAAAAAGTTTAAGGGTGCACAAAATTTTATCTCTCCTTATCCTCTCTGCTTCAAGCTAAATGTTTAAAATTGAAATACCATGGTATACCTTGAAAGTGTTGATACTTTAAACGGCTTTCATCCTTAGACTTATAGATTTAAGAAATCGATATTTTAACTTTTCAATCTTTGCAACTCTACAAGCTGGGTTCTTAAAAAAAAACCATGTGCAAATGACAATAAAGCACTACCTATATACATTATATAAAAATCATAATATTCGGGAACAGTCTTGGGTTTCCTAATCTGGCAGGATTCTAGATTATTGAACCCGAAATAATAATGTGACTGGACAAGACTTTAAAGGAAGCTTGTAGTCCCCAACAAGCGCCAGTAGGGGTCTATTCTGCTGCTAACAAGTGGATATACCGACAGAAAGATGTTAGAAGATGTGTGTTAACTGTAGTTTTACAAATTTAATAATGCAAAGAATAAAGGTCTTCCACAGTTCAATACCACTTTACATGCTCAGAGCAATAATACAAGAAAATAGGAAATAGGCCTTATTTACTTATCTACCTCATTTAAATTTTAATTGAGCTCGTCAACTTCAACCTGGAAATTATTAACTTTAAGTTAAAACTTTCCGCGTATTTTTTATAGTTTTATATTAGCTTTGAAGCTCCTTTTCCAAACCTTTTCGTGAGTTAGACTTTAGTATTTAATAAGAATGCAATCACATTGAGATAGAGCAACTAATCAACATAAAAAATACTCATCTAACTTGTAAAAAATATTATGAACCTTATTAGTGCTTTAATTACTGTATAATTGTAGATAATAAGCATTTAAATACTTTAAAAGTACTAACTATGTAGCTAGTAGTGATAGTTTGTGGAAGTTTTAGCTTGTATGCAAAGGATAGCGTGAATTTTAGCTTCATGTGGTTAACACGAGTTAGACAGCATAACAACACAAAGCGCTTAAGACGACGCGAGAGTACCATCCTAAGGTGGAACAACGTTTTGAAATAAATTTATCTTTGATCGGGTTATGTCACCCTCT